CTTGCTTTATATTTTAGCTATAGAACTTTGGTTCGTACGGCCTTTCTTCTTCCTTTTTGTTTTCGTTACTCACCCACTCAGATGCGGCTTGGCGACCATGCACTAATTTTCTTAACCCTTTACGTCCCAAAAGTGACAAACATCAATTTTCTCCTGAAAATATCAATGCACAATCAAAAGAAAAAGTAGTGAGAATTAATGAAATAATCACCCATAAGAGAAAATAATGCTTTGACCTTCTACCAAATTCCCTCAACTTATTTTTTATGGAAACAGTGTATAGAGACCAGTTTCGAGAATTTGCATTAGGATATACTGGGGCTTAAAGGGTTAAACCGCCGCTCTCTATTAATGGTAGACTTCGTTTTTGTTTTAGTCACCAGCTCAAGCATTTTATACCCTGCTTGCAGAGTCACTTCGATCTTTCCTAGATAAGTCAGGAAAGAGGAATCGGAGAAAAAAAAAACAGATCGAAGGAGACTCTGTTCGCCGGGAAAAGCATTTATGTCAGTTAAGACACAACTACTAAAATGTGTTACAATAAAACAGTTTGCTGCTTAATTACTCTAACTTACTTTTGCCACTCCAGAGGCGGATCCAGGATTTTTTTTAAGAGGGGGTGCACTCGTCTCCTGCTCTACTTCAACACCAATAAACCACATAGTTTTTTTTTTTTTGGCAGAATACCAGTTGTATTAGAAAACCGCAGGTCATCTCGGGGGGGGTGCGCACCCACTGCACCCTCCCCCTAGATCCGCCCCTGCACTCTTATACGTTTAAGAACAAGAATTGCGATTTTTAGTCCTTTTATTCTGCCTTCAGGCTACTTTTCATAGTCCCTGTCTGATCTTGCATAGGCTGAAGTGTAAAACAAGTAGCAAAAGTGATGGAAAAGTCACAAAAATATTGATTTTCTGTATTCTGTAGCCGCTGGACATAGAAGCCTGAGTGTATAAAACAGAACAAGTAGAATATGACATCGTATTTTTAATCGTTCTTCATTTACATGTACAAGGCTCTTTATAATACTTGAAAGCTAAAAAATTGTTATAATTATTATATATAGTAAAGGTCAACCTATGCTGAATCAATACTACCTAGAAGTAAGAAAAACAATGATTCACTGTTCAAAATTGTGTAAAAAGATAGATTTTAAGAGACCTCTTGAAAGTAAATGTAGATTTGGTTATAAAATGTCAAAATCTGAGAAAAAAGTGAGAATGAAGCAAAGCTTCTATCAAAATATTTAGGCAGAGCAACGGATGTTCAAGTCTTCCATACCGTGTGGAGACCAACAACTACGTATTTCCTGCGCATCTTATCTCAAGTACCGTCTTCAGTAAGTCACCTTGCACATGCTTGCAAACACGTTCACTGGATGTGACGAGCCCAGCGATAGAGAAAGATACATTGCATAGGATTTGCAATTTCTGTACATTTTTTAATAGTTTGCCTTTTGCCTCTTGTGTCAAACTTGAGAAGAAGTACCTTTTTTAACTTATCAGCTTACTGTACATCACAAAATACTGGAAGCTAAAAGGAAAAGTCTCACTCGTCTGCTTTCCAAAAAGACCGTTTTCTTTCAACTCGCCACAAGGGCCTACACTTCGTGAATGAAAAATTCACAATGGCTGGCACAGTATAACGGTCGATCATAATCACCACCACAAGGGGATGTTATCCCCCCTTTCTCGTTCGAACCGAAGCTGAGTGAGAAGCATCGTGANCAGGGGCGGATCCAGGATTTTTTTTAGGAGGGGGTGCACTCGTCTCTTGCTCTACTTCAACTCCAATACACCACATAGTTTTTTTTTTTGGCAGAATACCAGTTGTATTAGAAAACCGCAGGTCATCTCGGGGGGGGTGCGCACCCACTGCACCCTCCCCCTAGATCCGCCCCTGCACTCTTATACGTTTAAGAACAAGAATTGCGATTTTTAGTCCTTTTATTCTGCCTTCAGGCTACTTTTCATAGTCCCTGTCTGATCTTGCATAGGCTGAAGTGTAAAACAAGTAGCAAAAGTGATGGAAAAGTCACAAAAATATTGATTTTCTGTATTCTGTAGCCGCTGGACATAGAAGCCTGAGTGTATAAAACAGAACAAGTAGAATATGACATCGTATTTTTAATCGTTCTTCATTTACATGTACAAGGCTCTTTATAATACTTGAAAGCTAAAAAATTGTTATAATTATTATATATAGTAAAGGTCAACCTATGCTGAATCAATACTACCTAGAAGTAAGAAAAACAATGATTCACTGTTCAAAATTGTGTAAAAAGATAGATTTTAAGAGACCTCTTGAAAGTAAATGTAGATTTGGTTATAAAATGTCAAAATCTGAGAAAAAAGTGAGAATGAAGCAAAGCTTCTATCAAAATATTTAGGCAGAGCAACGGATGTTCAAGTCTTCCATACCGTGTGGAGACCAACAACTACGTATTTCCTGCGCATCTTATCTCAAGTACCGTCTTCAGTAAGTCACCTTGCACATGCTTGCAAACACGTTCACTGGATGTGACGAGCCCAGCGATAGAGAAAGATACATTGCATAGGATTTGCAATTTCTGTACATTTTTTAATAGTTTGCCTTTTGCCTCTTGTGTCAAACTTGAGAAGAAGTACCTTTTTTAACTTATCAGCTTACTGTACATCACAAAATACTGGAAGCTAAAAGGAAAAGTCTCACTCGTCTGCTTTCCAAAAAGACCGTTTTCTTTCAACTCGCCACAAGGGCCTACACTTCGTGAATGAAAAATTCACAATGGCTGGCACAGTATAACGGTCGATCATAATCACCACCACAAGGGGATGTTATCCCCCCTTTCTCGTTCGAACCGAAGCTGAGTGAGAAGCATCGTGAGATACTAGAACCTTTAGGACAGTCATCCTTTAGCACACAGAGTCAGTTAAGATATTAGTAGACGTTGCGTACCGCAGTGGAAATGATTGGGCAGATGTATCGTTCTGATAAGAGAAATCCTTCATTTCGCATTTTCTCGGAATGATTTTATTATTATTATTATTATTATTATTATTATTATTATTATTATTATTATTATTATTATTATTATTATTATTATTATTATTATATTTATTTATTTTTTATTTTTTTTATTTATCTTTTTTTTGCGGTCTCTTAAAAGTCATCAGCTTAAGTAAAAGGGACATGACATTCAACGTAGTGCGGTTCCAGGTTTTCCGGCGGACAGAGCACACTGAATGCACACTGGCATGAAGTCCAAACATACTGTTTGCACGCTTTTTTCGCTGATGCGAAGCACCCCTGAGAGTGTGTTGTTGAGGTATAAGACTTAGGGGATCAAATTTTAACCCAGTTTCCCATGCATTGATAGCTGTAATAGCGCAGTAAAATATCGTAGCATATATTGTTTTATAAAGTAACTAAATATAGTACGCACGTTCTGATTAGTTAAAAACCTATGATTTATTGTGCCGGTAAACTCATAGAAAAATGAAACAAACATCGAGAACGCGAATGTCCCGGACGTATGGCACGCAATAGTTTGGTTTTTCGTTCTATGAAATGCAACCAAGTTCGAAAGCTTTTGTTTTTACTGTTATAGTATGACATAGTTTAGTCAGAGCACTGAATTAAAGAGAGAAAAGTCCAACTTTGGGTTCATATTTTTTACTTCCGGCACATCAACGCTTTCGTTACGCTTATGTCTCAAAAACAGTCCAACAATGCACTTCGAAACAATACTGATCTAGTCTCACGCGCCATTTTGAAAAGGTGAACAAAATAAGTAATAAAACGTAACACCTGTGACAGATGATAAAATGGTTACAACAGGATAAGCAAAGAGTACGATGATATTGTAGGAAAGCTGAAAAACAAGCATCGATCACTTGAATATACTTTTTTTTTTTTTTCTGGTGAGTGGGGAGGGATCGTTGTCGGTGGTTGTTCCGTTCGAGTCATATCAGCCTCTTCGGTTGGACAGCGGTGTAAACGGTGTTTCGAAAAATTAAGATAACAGACCCCCCCTCCCCCCCTCCCCCCCCCAAAAAAAGGAAGGGACAACTTTCCTACGGGTTTGATTAAAACCTGATATCACCAAAGGACAAACAAAAACTACAGTATAAAATTAAAGTGTACTTTAACATTTCCGATTGTAAACCTGGTCTGATGAATTAATCGTTAATATCTCCGTTGAAAGGAAATTAAAAATACATGTCAAACCTCTATTAAGCACCGGTCACCACCCATCAGGAAACACCCAGATGACGCCTTCCTAATTCGTGACTGACCGCACAATAGGATTTAAAAAAATATATATACGTAATATATATGATAAAAAATTGAACCTGCATTAAAAAATTTCAGAGATGGACCGGATAATATTCAAGACATTTAATTGTTAACAACAGCGACGCGAGCAATTATTTTATAATAATTAATTTAAAACTGCTTAATGACGAGCACTTTATTAGAGAAGTCTTTACGAGCGCTGTGGTTGTCAACCGGGTCGGAACCATAGCATCTAAGGGTTCTTTGACTATTATCTTGCTATTATCTCTATCATTTATGAGTGGTTGGAAGGAAAAGGGCATACTTCTTGCCGTCATGTCAAAATGGCTTTGTACTGTTATTCAAATATAGGTGAGCTTTTTAAAATAGCGGTGAAAATAAGCCAGTTGGTAAGTTTACAGGGTGACTGCGTCCGCTTGAAAGAGGCCGCAACAACGGCTCAATAGAGGTAGAATTTACCGTAAATATTGAAAGCAAATTCCGGGAATTTCACAAGTAACCGGTTAACGGAGAGCCTCTTAATAGAGTTTTGATAGTAGTAGAATTGTTGAGCAGAGTTCTTCCGATTTGATTGAAACCGGCTAAAACAGGAATTGGCTTCTGATTGGCTGTAGTTGCCACACTTATCTTCCATCGTCTCTATAAGTATCTCGTGATGTTTGTATTGGAAGGAAAGAAAAAAAGGAGAGGAGAAGAATTACATCGTTGACCTTTTTTCCAACATGGCGCCTTGGGACTGTTGCAGGGTATGGCGAGGTTTAGTCTGGAGCCTGTTTGCCTTTTATGCTACATTTCTGTTGATTACTCCAGGTATGTCAAGTTATGTTTAACTCTAATGGGGCGGGTTGAGAGCGAATAATATAAAATTGTAGTTTAAATGTGCTACGACTTTGACTCTTTCCAGCGATAGTCCTTTGTCACAGTGAATCACGGCAAGGAAAGTTGGATATGGCTTTAATACCAAAACTCTCAAATGATCTAATTTAGTAGAATGTTTTCACAACCATTACTTCTTTCATTCATGGCCGACAGGAAAATAGGCACCTTTTATGTTAAGAAGAACTATAAAATCTGATTATGGACCAGAAGCATTTCAAATATACGCGCGCACGATGCCATCCTGCGAGTAGAGCCTTTACCTTTACTTACTGCGATTTAGGGGTCTTCCACGAAAAGTGCTCTGTAATAAACATGTCAAGCTTGTTGGGCAGCCCAGGTACAGTAGACTTGTTATTTTAATAGCGTTTTAATGGTATATTCGTTTTTTCGGATTCTTTATCTAGGTGTAGGAGCCCTAAAGTTCCTCCAGGATCCTCCATCAGTCCAGGTATCTTGTGTCGGCTGGACTGTTGACTACAATTGCACAACAGATGACCCAAGTGCCACGGTGTCACTTTTATATTCTAGAAATTTTGGCATTTCTTATAGTGTGTTACAGGTCTCACCAAACAAACTTCTTTTGAGGAAACAAGTGTTCACCCTAGTAAACCTTATTCTTTCGGATGGAGGATCCTATAAATGCAAGGCAACGGACCAGTCAGGTCAAACCATTCAATGGAACCGTGTTTCAGTGTTATTTTTACTAGCAGGTTTGTAAGAATATTCTGAGTAAATTGATACTCGTGATTAGAAAATATGGTGAATACAAACCTTTGACAAGTGCGACATGACTACGTTAAGTGCCAAAGTGATGTGTTGAATAAATGCAGCCTTACAGTAAAAGTGTATTAGGCTGTTTTAGCAACAGAAAGGGGAAAGTCAGTTGACGACGGCGCGAGCAAATCAAATAACTGGCTTGACCAATGGTAGAGCGGCAAATTGGGCACCGGAAGTCGACTTTAGACCTTTTGCTAAATCAGCCTATTATTAATCAGACCCCTTACTAAGGGGCCAGCAAACATGAGCGCCACGTGCACTTGTCCTCAACTGTTTTACCAATATTTTATTTTGTAAAATAAACCTGTGCTAAGCAGATGCCTTGTGACAGTCCGATAGTTTGCCATTATTTCTTTTGGAATGCAAAGCGGGCTGGAGTGTGGGATACGAGATACGTCCTAATAAAAGCTGTAAAATCCCATTTACAAAGATAATTTTAGATGTAAAATAAGTCAGAATAACCATTTTAATTCAGACTTTTAAACCAATTACTGTAGTAAATTATGCATAGTGACTACTTACTAAATGCTGCACGTAAAGTACATTTTCTTATGAACTTTTTTTGCAGTTCAGTTACCTAGGCATTTTGTTTTGAAACCAAACAAATCAATCGATGTGCTGCAAGGGCAGAGTGGAGAAGTCACATGTGAAGCTGAGAGCCCTTCAGTTTCTAACCTTAAGTGGGAAAAGCAACAGGACGATCAATCATATGCAGCAGTCCCCAACAGCCAAGTTAACATCACTAAAGATTCAAACTATGTGAGAGCGACCCTAAAGATTACAAATGCCCAGTTTGCAGACGCTGGTACATATAAATGTACAGTGTCAGTTCCACCAAATAAATCAGATTACAGGCTGGCAACCGTTAGAGTCCAGGGTAGGTTTATTTTGAATTCTTACGTTACACTGGAATTCCAACAAATTTAAATTAATATTTATGATTCTTGCACCTCCCCTTGCGTCGTCCACTTTAATTTTCAAAGATAATTTAAACGCACGAAAGAAAAGTCAAATCTGGGGGAAGGTGGCTTTTGGACCTATTTGTAATCTGAATACATGTCATTGTGTTTCCGGAAGATTGGTCTCACAGCATCTAATCTCGGACCCAGATCTCTTGTCTGAGAAGCTGAAGGTGAGATCAGGTGACTGATCGGTAACTTTTCGGGCCGGAAAGCTGTTTTTTGTTTGTTGTGTTTGCATTCAAGATCAAAGTTTCAATAATTTTGAAAATAATAAAATAAATCTATCAGTTTAAAATGAAGCAACATTGACTGGTTTGTAGGCCAGGAAATGTGCTACTATTCAACAGGTTTGGATTTCAAAATTTGCCTTTGGGCCCGAAAGTTTCCGTGACTTTCGAGAAACAGGCACGTGATTGCGTGTCAGTAATGTGATAGGAGATGAATATTTTTTAACAGCGAGCTTGGATTTTAATGGCAATAATATTAGCTTATAGATAGCCCAACAGCGTGACTTCAGGTTGGGCCCACTTACCTTTCAGTCCCCTATCAAACAAAAACTTTTGAATCCGCCCCCTTTGCAGGTCAAGGAAGTCTTCCCGTGATCGCCCAAATAGGAGATTGTGTCGAACGGGACGAAGATATACATACACTACAAAATCATGCCGTAAATTTTTCATGTAAATTTAAAAAAAAAACTGTCTTATTACTGTTACCCCTTATCATTCTCAGCATTTTCGAGAAGAACCAGTTTATTCAAGGAATAAATCCCAGTTAGCCTGCGTTGCAGCCGGCCGACGCATCGCCTAAACCATGTATAGATACAGAGAAGGTTTAGTGTCTGCGATGCAGGCTAAGCCCGGTAAAGCGAGACAAGGCAAAAAAAAAAGCGGGGGGGGAAAGCACAAATTTTATCTTTAACTCATGTCCTGCGAACGCGAATTTTGAGAGTAGCAAAGAAAGTTTTGAAAGAATAACGCGTTAGCATTGAACTAAATGACATGCGAGAATGCTACTATACAGGTTAGAAGCAGTAACGGTTTTTAGTTAAGGACTTGAGACTTGAACTTACATATAAAGTTAGAATACAGTCTGTGTTCTAAGGAACATTGAAAGGAGCCCAGTTCTCTGAACCTGTAAAATCTAGACTGCCCATGATTTGTACGAAAAATCGGCCATTTTCTCCGAGTCACTCAAGAGTAATAGTTAGGCGCCAGGGGCCACCGGGCTCTGCTAGAGCACAACCTTGTTTGAACTTTAATTTATAATATCAGGACCTGAACAATCGATGGCAATCGATAACAATCGATGACAATCGATATCAGTTAATCGATTGATATTGATAATCGATGGACAATCGATCCCGAAAATTTTTGTGATTATTGATTATCATCGATTATCAATATATATATATATTGATAATATATATTGCGAGTAGCAATGTTTATTCGCCCACACGTTTCGCGCGAGTTTAAAATTCATAGTCTAGACGTACTACGTTTAGGTAGTCACTTGAAGGGATAGACGAGGGGGCCCTTCCTCGATCCTGAGACTGGGACCGAGTTATACGATCGCCGAAGATTTTTCCGAATGGATCTTCGTACGTGAGGGGTACGTGCATAATTAAATCATGAGCTCTTTTGATACACAGTATGTGTGCAGAGGCTACAATTATCTCCTCCCTCGAGTTGAATTAAGGTGAGTTTTAAAACGTGGCTTGGTCGTTTGCAGTTCTACTGAATTCGTAGAAAATTCGATTCATAGTAATTGCTGATCAAGCTTTGCAAATTAATTGACAATGGGCCCTGTGATCTATGTTCACGTCACATAGATGAAAGGTACCTTC